GTGGGATTTGCTGGTCATACTCTGGAGTTGTGAGGGAGGAATCAAGGATAATTGGCCTGGCGCCTGAAAACTGTAAGAATGAACGTGCCATTTACAGAGAAAATGCAGAGGTGGAGGCAAGCGTACTGGTACTTGATGAGTAACGTCACACTGGTGAGTGTAAGAATGGAAAACAATAAAGTGACTTGAAGAGTCTGGAAATTATATTTCACCTGCAAGATGCTGGGGAAAATCCGAATTGTGTGCCCAAAATGTTGGAGAAACGTAGTTGCTTACAAGAAAGGACCCCAGGGAACCTTATGTTACTTTATTTAGAGCTCTAATTGACTACCAGTTTCTTGCTATTCCCCTACACATCCTTTGCCTTTAGGCTCTCTGAAGACGTCTGTTTAAGATGTGTTTTACTTCTTGACATGAGTTCCAACCATGTGGAGGAAATAAGCATCTGGCCTCTTTAAGAAAGAAGTTCATATTATTCATCCAGAAACTGATCCTGAATGAGTGAATTACAGGAAATATGAAGTCTTCAAACAATAGGATTCCCTTGTAAAAAGCAAGACTTGGAATCTAATTCCCTTGTATATCGATGGGTCTGTGACTGTCTTGTCATCAGTAAAATGCTATGGAAGTGATATTTCCTGACTTGTGAGGTCAGGTCAGAAAAATCTGTGATACCTCCAACATCTTTGCAGGACTACTTGTGCCGGAGCCTGAACCACCATGAAAGTCGTGAATGCTGGGGCGCCTGGGTGGCTCAGTCAGTTGGGGTGTCCCAGGGTCTGGGATTACGAGCCCCGTGTCGGGCTCTCTGCTCAATGGGGAGCCTGCTTCTCCCTCTCCCTCTGCCTGCCGCTCCCCGTTTGTGCTCACTCTCTCTCTCTCTCTCTAATAAAGAAATAAATCTTAAAAAAAAAAAAAATGCATGCTGAGGCCACCATCCTGTGAAGAAGCACAAACTGGCCCAGTGGGAGGAGCCCTGAGACCACAGGAAGAGAGATGCCCCCCAGACCCCAGCTGCTCCAGACCCCGGGTCAGATCCAGCTACCATAACGCTGCAACTACAGGAGGGACCCCGAGCCAGAATCAGCCACACAAACCTCTCACCAGCTCCTGACCCACAGAAACCGTGGAAATAACAAAAGGATTGTTTCTATTTTTAGCCACTAAGTTTTGGGGAGGAGTTAGCATGGAGCCCTAGGAACTGAACCACTCCCATTATGACCCACCCCTAGAAACTTTTCTGATGTGGTATTTCCTTTAGTTTTACATGACTTTGGTGTTCTTATTGTGAGAATGAATTTTTCATTTATATATATTATACCATGCATAAGATTTTGTTTCTATTTTCCCCATCTGGCATTTAAAAGATTTGGGTCCGGGGCACCTGGGTGGCTCAGTCGTTAAGCGTCTGCCTTCGGCTCAGGTCATGATCCTGGGGTCCTGGGATCGAGTCCCGCATCGGGCTCCCTGCTCCGCGGGAAGCCTGCTTTTCCCTCTCCCACTCCCCCTGCTTGTGTTCCCTCTCTCGCTGTCTCTCTCTGTCAAATAAATAAATAAAATCTTTAAAAATAATAATAATAAAATAAATAAAAGAGTCATGTCTGGGGCGCCTGGGTGGCTCAGTTGGTTAAGCGACTGCCTTCGGCTCAGGTCATGATCCCAGGGTCCTGGGATCGAGGCCCTCATGGGGCTCCCTGCTCAGTGGGAAGCCTGCTTCTCCCTCTCCCTCTGGCCCTCCCCACTCTCATGCACTCTCTCCCTCTCCCTCTCTCTCTCAAATAAATAAATAAAATCTTTAAAAAAAAAAGTTGTGTCCACATCGCTGTGTGTCCATCAGTCTCATGCCTCCAGCCAATGTGTAGTATGCGTAAGATGCACTGACCACATTTTACTTACCTGTTCCTCTCGTCATGAACCACGAGATTGCCTGCGGCTCCCACAAACGCTGTCACAGACATCTTGGGACACGTCCCCTCATGGCTCCCTGTGAGAGCTTCTTGGGGCAGGCAGTATACCCGGAAGTGGGAGTGCCGCCTCCGAGGGCACATGCACACTTACTCTAGCCAAGGGCCACTGGACTGCTCTCCAGCATACCCACAGCACCAGTCCCACACTACCAGTGCCGTGCTCACTTGTTGACCCAATCTTTACATTTTATTTATGGAAAGAACTAGTCAGGAGCGCCTGGGTGGCTCAGTCGGTTAAGCATCCAACTCTTGGTTTCAGCTCAGATTGGGATCTCCTGGGTTGTGGGAAATAGCCCTGCTCAGGCTCCATGCTCAGCGGGGAGTCTGCTTGAAGATTCTCTCCCCCTCTGCCCCTCCCCCCACCTGTGGGCATTCTCTCTCTCTCTCTGAAATAAATAAAATCAATCTTTAAAAAAAAAAAAAAAGAACTAGTCAGTCTGCTGGAGGGGTTTCCCCCCCCCATAATTGCCCTGAATATCCTTGTGGCTCACTTCCTTCATTCAGGTCTTACTTCAAATGTCATCTAATCAGACTGCTACACCCCATTACTTGTGCTACCATCCCCATCCTTCTTAACTTGTGGTTCTTTTCTTCATTGTTCTTACAGCTGATTATCTGTGTGTGTGTGTGGTGTTTGGTTATTGTCTGTCTCCCCCCCAAAAAGGATGGTATTGGGTGCACAACAGGTGACCAGTGAAGATCCGCTATGAATGCAGTGTCAGAGTCTGATTTAACTGAGTACCATTCTAAGGAGCCTCCCTAGTTCCTCACCCCACCCCCACCCCGGTCCCCCTCACTTAGGGGCAGAGAATATCGGGAGGCCTTGAAGCTCTCCCATCTCTCCCTGCCCCCACATTGGACTCACCAAGCACAGGGATGAAGGACATTCTAGTACCACTTGGGACGGTTCTATCAGTGATTCAGGTACCGTCGGTGTCCTGAGTGTTTGTGGTAAGGTGTGCTTGCTCACAGCTTCTTGTTGCATGGATGCATGGAATCATTAGGCCCTGGTCTCTGGTCTTAGTTAATGATCCTAAGACAGACAAAGGGAGAGTATTTAGGAAACAAAAAAAAAGGCACTCAATAAAAAGTGAATAATATAGCACTGTCTTGTCTGATACTATAATTATTCACTACATGTGGCAAATTAAATTTAAATTAATTATCATTTATTATTTTTGGGGGGTGGGGGGAGGGCAGAGGGGGAGGGAGAGAGAGCATCTTAAGCAGACTCCCTGGTAAGTGCAGAGCCCAACGCGGGGCTCGTTCTCATGACCCTGAGATCATGACCTGAGCCGAAATCTAGAGTCGGACGCTTAATTGACTGAGCCACCCAGGAACCCTAAATTTAAATTAGTTAAAATGAAAAATTTGGTTCCTCAGTCACACTAGCCATATTGAAGTGCTCAATAGTTACATGTAGCTAGTGCAGACATGTACCTTTCCATAGTCATAGAAAGTTCTGTTGCACAGTGCTGTAGGAGAAAACAACTTCTCTAGATACGTTCTGAAAATACCAACCTGTCTTGAGAGCTCTTGAGGGAATTCTGCCTGCCTTCCTCAGGCTTCAAAGGGTCAGAATTTTGTCCCATCATTAAAAATAACAACTAGCAGGATGCCTGGGTGGCTCAGTCAGTTAGGCGTCCAACTCTTTGATTTCGGCTCAGGTCATGATCTCAGGGTTATGAGATTGGGCCCCACATTGGGCTCTGCATTCAGCATGGAGTCTGCTTAAGATTCTCTCTCTCTCTCCCTCTGCCCCTCCCCCACTCTCTCTCTAAAAAAAAAAAAAGAAAGAAAAAAAATAATAACTAGTATACTTTTGACCTGGAAAGACAGAAGTGTTCTTTCCTACAGGCTGCTTTTGGAGGACACGTCTTGGCTGGTTGCCTGTGTCCTCCACAGCAGGTGAAGAAGGTCATGTGTTGCTAGCACCCAGTCACATTGAGAGGAAACTTAATTTTATACAATGAGCATTTTTGGAGAACAAACAAGTTTTATGTTTTATTTAAACTTTATATACCATGTTAATTGCCCCTCTTTTGAGGGCCAGGATAAAGAGTTGGAAAGTTGTGTTTTTTTTTTCCCCTTTCATTGTCATTAATTCTCTGAATTCCAAAGATGTGTGTTTCAGGGTAGGTAAGTTGTGGCTAGCTGACCCTTGATAATTATGAACATCCATTTCAGATTTTAAATTATGAAATAATTGAAGGAAAAAGTCAAATGTTATAAATTTATTTGGGACATCTATTACCACCTCTTTGGAAGCCTTTGAAAATTCAAGCAAAAATCAATACACTTCCAGCTTTTTCTTTTTTTACTTTCAATAAATAATATCTTTGTGTATATGTATATAGAGATAGATATACTTAATTAATGAGTCATTTAGCAGGATTTTTAAGTTTTATACTGCATTAATTCCAACATAGCTCTTTCCAGATTGATAGAATGTAAATGAGGTAAGAATTAAGGCAAACCTAAAAGGCATGCAAATGTAGCACATTTATCTTCACTGATAATACAAGCTCTTGGGTGTGGACCACCCAGAGGAGCCAAGGCCCCTCCGGGCCCTGTCCAGTACTATTTTACAGGAGAATGGTGACACAGTTTATATTAAGTTACATTACCGTGGGGGGCTCAGTGCTACTAACATGTAATCAAGGAGACACGAGCATTAGCAAAACATGAACAAGAAACCATAGAACTCTTTGCAGCACATTTCTGCCCAGGCTTGAGGGGAGAAGGGATTTTATGAAATGATGTTACACATATCACATTGTGGAAGGTTGTTTTATAATATATGCTTTTAAAATTCATTAGCAAATGACATTCTCATGCACACAAGTGTTTCAAACACAAGAAGCAAGTCCATTGATAGGTAGTCCAAGCAATATTTGTGTGCGTGTGTGTGTGCGTGTGTGTGCGTGTGTGTGTGCGTGTGTGTGTGTGTGTGTGTGTGTGTGTGTGTGTGTGTGTGTG